GCTGGATGGTTTGGTCGTGGAGCTTTCATCGTTCTTCTGAACGACATCATCAGCACAAACTTCAGATAGAAGTGAAGTGTTCGAATTTCTCCATATGTGTTTCACAGCTTGTTCTGTGCACCTCGATGTTGATTGGTTCTTGTTGACCTTAAATTTATCATTGTTTACTTCTTTGTTTTGGTTGTGTCTCCCATTGGTTTGATTTTTGTTCCTATATTTATGCATGATTTTCCTGATTGGTTGATAAATTGGATTGATCTCAATATGTTTGTTGATTGCTGATTGACCTGAGTGCCAGGCTTCTAGAAATTCTCTGGTGTTTTTGGAGTTTCCTCTGTCTAAGATTTCTACATTTTCCCAATCGAATGAGTGTCCGTAGTTATCCACGTGTATTGAAATAAGTGAAGAGATATCATGGCGTTTGACTGCCAATTGATGTTCATGTAGGCGTAGGTAGAGGGGACGTCCGCTTTGTCCGATGTAGTGTTTGTCGCAGTTGGTACAATTTATTTTGTAGATGATGTTTGATTTGTTTTCCTTCGTTATTTCATCTTTTGGTTTGCATAGGATTGATTGTAATGATTTTGTTGGTTTGTGTGCCACACCTATCCCGAAGGTTTTCAGCAGTCTCGTTGTGGTTTCTGATATTCCTTGTATGTACGGTAGGGTGATCCTTTTGTTGATTTTTGTGCTTGATTTGGGTTCTGATGCTGTGTGCCGTTGGTGCTTTTTGATGAAGTTGATTGGGTAGCCGTTCTTTTGAAATATGTCCTTCAGGTATTTCCCTTAATTTTTTCGTGCTGCCAGTTTGCTACAGTGTGTCCTCGCCCTCTTGAACAATGTGTGTACGCAGTTGATTTTGTGAGCTCTTGGGTTGTTGCTGTTGTAATTGAGGATTTGATCTGTATGGGTCGGTTTCCTATATACTTGAGTTTCCAGTTTTCCTGTATCGGTTCTAGTGATCAATATATCCAAGAATGCTATTTGGTTGTTTGACTCCTGTTCCATTGTAAACTTGATGTCGTTGAAAACGTTGTTGATCAGTTTGTATGTGTTTTCCAGTTCATCCTTTTTGACGATGACAAAGGTGTCGTCTACGTAGCGAATCCAAATTTTTGGCTTGATCGCTGGTAATATCGTGGCTTCTAGTCTTTGCATCACTGCTTCTGCGATCAGTCCTGATATTGGTGATCCCATTGGTGTCCCTTTTGTTTGTTCGTAGATTTTGTTGTTGAATTGAAAATATGTTGTTAGGCATAAATCGATGAGTTCCAGTATACTTTTAATTTGAAGCGTCGTGTATTTGGTGAGGTTTGTGTCGTTGTTGAGTAGCAGGGATATAGTTTCTTTTGCTAGCTGTGGTTCAATTGAGGTGAACAGTGCTGTTACGTCGAAGGATATCATGAGTTCGTCGTTGTTGATTTGAATATCCTTAATTTGGTCCAGGAATTGTGTTGGGGATTTGATGGAGTGTTTGGCTGAATCTACTAGATGTCTCAGTATTCGTGAAATTTCTTTTGACAAATTGTATGTTCGCGTTCCGGGGAGTGCTACTATTGGACGTAGTGGGATGTTTGGTTTGTGTATTTTGGGTCTACCGTAGAATCGAGGGAGTAATGGTCCACTGGATTTCATTCTCCATTGGTCTTGATTTGTTATTTCTCCTGCTTTGACTAGCTTGTTTAAAGTCTTTGAGATTTGATTGTCTAATTTTTTGACGGGATTTGTGTCCATCAGTTTGTATGTGCTCTTATCTTCGAGTAGTTCTTCGGCTTTGTTGATGTATTCTTCTTTGTCCATGATTACTGTGGTGCGTCCCTTGTCCGCTGGTATTATGATAATATCTTTTCTATTTCTGAGTTCTTTCAGTGCCTTTTGTAATTGTGGAGTCAGTTGGTTGTTTTCTTTCACCTGTTGAGTTATCGGTACTATAGTTTGCCTTATTTCCTGTTGTGTTTCTTCACTGATTCCGGAAGTTTTGAGTGATGACTCTAGTGCTGCGAAGAACTGTAGCTTTGAGGCGTCGCTTGTATTGTAGTTTAATCCTTTTTGGAGCAGGTGTTCTTCCGTATTTGTTAGTGGTTGTTTTGACAGATTGATCACGCAGTTGTTTGTGTTTTCTTCCATGGGTGGTTTTGAGATCTTGATTAGTTTTTTCTTTAAGGTGTTTCTTCTTTGTTCTCTATGTCGTTTGCATGATATCTCGATGGCTGTTGTCACGATTTCCAAATGTTCTGATGTGAGCATTCTTTGTAGCTTTATCTTTTGGTCTTCTATGACGTGTTGGTATTTGCAGATCCTGTAGTGTGCATCCGTTATCATTAGGTGTACCATTTTTCTTCCACTTTGCTCGGCAATTCTCCATCCTAGTGGGCAGTTGATTGGAGGTCTATATCTTACACTTGTTGGTAGAACATGCTGGCGAAGACACTCATGGAGAAAATATAGTTGTTCTCGAGTGGAAGCCTGCCTTTTGGCGAAATTCTCCCATTTTCGAACAACGAGAAGCTTATTACGCTCATATGATTTTGAGATGGTGGAGAAGATTTGTAGCCTACATGAACATCAATTAGCAGTCAAGCGCCATGATATCTCTTCACTTATATCAATACACGTGGATAACTACGGACACTCATTCGATTGGGAAAATGTAGAAATCTTAGACAGAGGAAACTCCAAAAACACCAGAGAATTTCTAGAAGCCTGGCACTCAGGTCAATCAGCAATCAACAAACATATTGAGATCAATCCAATTTATCAACCAATCAGGAAAATCATGCATAAATATAGGAACAAAAATCAAACCAATGGGAGACACAACCAAAACAAAGAAGTAAACAATGATAAATTTAAGGTCAACAAGAACCAATCAACATCGAGGTGCACAGAACAAGCTGTGAAACACATATGGAGAAATTCGAACACTTCACTTCTATCTGAAGTTTGTGCTGATGATGTCGTTCAGAAGAACGATGAAAGCTCCACGACCAAACCATCCAGCTCAGAGAACAAAACACCACCAAAATCATCCACCTGAGCTACAAATCTTCTCCACTGCTTGCATTGCCAATGAAAGTCTTAATCACAATACAGAAATCCTGTGTATAGTAAGTTCTATCGCGCATTTACAGTTACAGTTTGTAAAGGAGGGTGAATAATCACTGACTCAACACAGTCACGTACGTGGTGTTCTGTAACGAAAAAAAAATTAAGATGTAGGTCCGTGATACCAAGAACCTTTATTAACACATACATGGTTCAAATTCCGTATGAATGTGGTGATATTGGTTGCAAAAGGAAATTAGTGTGCCAGTGTTGTGTGTAGCTAACTGAATATGTCATGAGCCATACTAACCCACTGGATTGTCACCTAATGTTTTCGAGGTCGACCAGAAATGAATAAAAGCCATTTAAACCTTTTGCTTTAACCACATATACACAAAACAATATTTTTTCTGATTTATGATTACATTTTCTCCTGGTTTCTGCCTTTGTACTTTATGTCTGCAATCATGCAGGTTACATACCTCCAAATATGTGTATTCTTTCCACTGAGAACATTTAAGTATCGTTAAACAGTCATACCTATCTGTTCTGTTCGTCGTCCTTTTTTCTTCTTTTTAGCATCACGCCCAATGCAAACAGCTACCGAGCTTTTATCATTGCTTGGATCAGGTGACTTACCTATACTTTTGACATGTTTTCTCTTGAAGTCGCTTGGACTACCTCATCCGACAGCGAATCCCATATTTGACTACTTGTAAAGAGTAGAATGTGTGCTTACAGTTCATTTTATTATGTTTTGTCTCTGATTTCTGTGTGTAACCTCTGAAGTTTGTGTTGATGCTGAGCTTGGGCAAATTTTTAAGGGGATGTACCGGAGCATTTAGGATGCTTTGACTCAGTGGTCACCTTTGAGAAGACTATACTCTTATGGGTAAGGATTCAGTTATTTGGAGCGCTTTTCATTACGTTCGATTTGGGGTCTCCGAACCGATTTCCTGGACTAGAATTCAGACATTTTGAGGAACGCCCTTAGTCACTGGATCTTTGTTCTTGAGAAAAGGCGACTCAAAGGCGATCTTTCAATAACTTACAGCAACTCAAACAATCGTAGATCACCATCGTAGATGGTTTGTGTCGAATAATTGGGGGCCTACTCAAGTTAAACGAGGATGGTGTGACCAACTAGATAACTTCAAAGTCCCACATCGTGGTTAATGACCAAAGCGGACTAATTTTTTGTCGTATCCAGGTACTATGGCTGCTTTGGTGACCATACAACACAAATGACTTTATTGCAGGAATCTATTAGTTAGAGTTGGTACAAGAAAGAGTGCAACCGCTATTGCATGGACCAGACCATTGTGCGCAATGAACTGATTCGCATTGGTTTTTACTGACCATTACGAGAATCGGTGGACTAATTGACATTCAGTGACTTGCTTGGTGGATGATTTGGCTAGGGACCAATGACATTGCACTACCCCTACACAATCTTAGGAACTTTCTAGAGGACCTAATTAAGTCCGATTCCAACACAAACCTTAGGGAAATACGAGAAGAATGGAGATACAATACTGTAAACTGGACTTTGGGAACATCTACTTTTCACGACTGGCCAACTCTTAGAATTCAATGCCAGCCGAAGTACTCAAAGCAAAATCCCTGTTGTCTCAAAGGAGGAAACTTGGTATTTTCTTGAGGACTCAGAAAACTATTTCAAACCTATTTAATAATATTTCTAATAATCCTATTTGTTTTATGTATCTAGGCCGTTACCTGAAGGAATCGGTGATTCACTACTACTGGACACGGAAGCTCGTCAACCATTTGAATCACCTCACGTTTTGATGTATTTGGCTACATGTTTATCAAAACCAGATATTAATTTCCACTACACATAAAAGATCTTTAATCGAGAGACTTTGGTTTTCTCCTCAAATAGTTAAAATTACTTCAGTGTAGAAATCTTTCTGTCGTGTTTTTTGGTACTGTACGTTACACTCACTTGACCTTGCGGGTTTTCTTGACGTGTTGGGTCCTAAGAGTGTTAGGTTTCGCTGCGAAATTATGGAAGCTTGTGCAGCAATTATGAGAGAAAATGTAGATTTGAATTCACAACTGAATGAGCGAGACTTTCCTGCCCTCCCAAAAGCGGGGTTATCTCGTCCTGTCAAAGCTTTAGGTGCATTAATACCTTCCTACCAAGCCAAAACTACGGAAGTATGATTATGTCTGTCTAGTAACATTGTTAGGTCTTGGAAATACCCTTTGAGGAGAGACGATTCCTTAATAATGAAAACGATAATCTTTCAACCGGTAGAAGATACAATGTTCAAAGCAAAATCTGTATGGAAATAGCAAGAGATACAAATGTTGAAATGAATTTGAACAGCTCCAAAAATCATATTCTAACAGTCGTTATCTCAGGAGAGCCAAGCAGAGTGGCTGAAGCTAAGAGAAGGGTGGTAGCTGAATTACAACAACAGGTAAGAGGATTACAAGCGGTATTCTATGTTAAACTGAAAACTGTTAATTGGTTTTACGACAAAAGATATTTACTCGAGGGCAGAATGGTTTGTCCGCATGTGTTAGATGGCTCACATAGGGGTAATAATCTGTGGTCAGTTATAGACGCAGTTCAATTTTAACCTTGTCTAGCTGCAAAAGTAGTTAGAAAAGGTCACTGATAATGTCGCCTTGTAAGTTGGTCTGCAGCTATTGGCTATTTTAATTGTCTGGGAAGCCCCCAAAGATTTGAATTGGTCTCGAATTGAGTGAATAAAAAGCAGATTTCACCCGTTTTTAAAAGCAAAATTACTACTGAAAGTAGTTCATTTTCGAAGTCAGATTTCAAACATCGAGTCATTTTAACCGGGTTAAATGATAACATAAACTCTATTTTTCGAATGGATCAATTTAATCATCACTAGTTCTTCAACAGATGAGTTTCATTTTGATAGTTCAAGTGAATGACTGCCATATAAAGATGAAAATACTTGGTATACTAAATCTCATGCTTTTCAAACAAGAATTAAACGTTTACATCATATTTATCTTCAAAATTCAGGTGACAATCCTATTGAATGAAAGTTAAGAAAAACACAGTATTTTAAAAACCGACAGTAATAACCGGTACATTCGGGGTGCGGTGTTTCAACTGCATTGGGGTTAGTCAAGCCTTATCTGATGAATTTTACCACCAGTTATCTGTTCTTCTCCAGAAAGTGCGTTCGACAGATATTGTAGTAATAGCCGGAGACTTGAATGCTCAGAAGAGAGTCGTTTAGGTGGCCGATGGGGACTTGTTGGTCGCAGGTCAGATAACGCGGACCGTCTACTGCAACTTTGCACAGACCACAACCTGTTTCTGACTAGCACAAACTTTCACACAGTCATCGCCGATGTGCCACCTGGCGTCCTCCCTCTGCATCTCAAGCCTGGACTCAGATTGATCACATTGCGATCAGCTACCGCTGGCGTGGTTGTGTACAAGACTGCCGCTCCTTTTGGAGTACCTATCTGGACTCTGACCATGCCTTGGTCTGCGCCAATCTTGCCCTATATAAAAACACCTCAGGCAGAGTGAGGGCATACAACCACCTCTCTCCATTGTTCGATTCGAGCAGTGGGGTTAGACAGGGTTGCCCAATCTCACCATTCCTCTTCAACTTTGCCATCGATGACATTCTGGAAACAGCTCTGATGGATGTAAGTAATGGTGGTGTGGATCTGTTGCCTGGAGAAAGACTTCTCGATCTTTGAGTATGCGAATGATTTTGTCTAACTGTGATAATACCCAAGCCATGCAATCCGCACTTAATCAGTTGGCAAATAGTGTCCGTAGTTATGTTATGTGCTTTAAACCTTTGAAATACAAAGTACTTCTACAAGACTGGCAGGACCTTGATCCTGCACTCACCCTGGATGGTGAGCAGATAGAAGTAGTTGAGATGTTCGTGTATCTAGGTAGCTGCATAAGTGCTGGTGGTGGGGTGAGTGATGAGATCAATGCATGTATAGTGAAAGCCTGAGCGGCTTATGCCAATCTGGGCCATCTTTGACGCCTTCGTGATGTTAGTCTGGCTGTAAAAGGTCGGATCTACAACGCGTCGGTGAGAGCAGTTTTGCTCTGTGCTTGTGAAACCTGGCCTCTCCGAGTTGAGGACGTTAGACGACTCTCTGTGTTCGATCATCGCTGTCTCCGAAGGATTGCTGACATTCAGTGGCAACACCATGTCAGTAATGCAGAGGTTCGGCATCGTGTGTTCGGGCACAGAGATGATAATTCAATTGGTGTCACCATCTTGAAACACCGACTTCGGTGGCTTGGACATGTTCTCCGAATGTCGTCCCAGAGAATTCCACGTCGTGCATTATTTGCCGACTCTGGGACTGGTTGGAAGAAGCGGAGAGGTGGTCAGTGCATGACATGGTGTCGTGGCATGAAAGAAAGCTCCAAAGGACTGGCTTCTGTTGGTCCTTCACAACTCCCTGGTTGGGGTCTGAGAGATGGTGCTACACAGTGGCTAGAGACGTTATCAGATATGGCTCAGAATAGAAGCCAGTGGTGATCCTGCTGTAACCTTTTACTTTCTTCATAAAAAGTGGTTGTGTTTCCCTTACCTAAAAGATTTCTTCTGATTGTACCTTTCCGTTCCCTCATTTCCACCATACTACCTTACACCAATCTCCTCGTTATTGTTCTCTTTTTTTTTGCGCTCCTTAGCTTTTTTTCTATTTCTCTTCGAATTCTCATTGTTTTGTGTGGCGCATATATATTGGCGCTCTCTTGTACCAATATTCATGTGTTCAAATAAATAAATAAATATCTGATGAGATCGATTGGCTTTTCTGAAAGTAGCTCCCTATTGTCAAGGCCCACAAACTCACCGCGTGGATGTGATTTCTTGGGGAAATCGATACCCTCAAGTCTTGGTGCGTGAGCGTCGCACCAGGGGGCATTTATGCGTTACACGCATACCGGTAAAACAAGATTTCACTCATGCATCCCATGGTATACATATAGGTATATTTACATACCTGAATAGGTGGACACCGCTCCCATCGAACGTATTTGCTACAGCTGACTGTCTCACGCACCACATGCATATCACTGGTACACAGGCTTTCGTACATATATTTCATGACATACATATAAGCATGAGTAGTTTTCAGGGAAGGTTGGTGATTACCTCTCCCTAGTATTCGCTACCATATTTTCATATTGTCTTCAACCTGAAGGTTTAGGCCGTTGATATAGGGCAGACATTTTCCAGCTTACGTTCCTTTTGCTAACTGGAGCACGTACAATTTACGTAAACCTACATACACAAACCCAAGGGCCGAGGGCGAAGTCGTACTGCTGGCTGTACAGAGGTGTGACGGAAGTAAGGTATTTCCTTCAGACAACCAGCGTAACAGCGATGCTAACTTCCCACAACGAAGGGTGGTGTTAGAAAAAATCGACCCTAAAAATACACACCTCACCTTATCCTGCGGATATCCGTTTCCGGCGGTAAGGTTCCAACAAGTACGGAGCTAACACGAAAACTACTCACAATAAGGTCGTGTGTGACCAGCCTCAAGCAGTTGTCCCTTGGTCACGCTCTCAGGTAATTAAGACCACCTCTAACCCAATTTACTTTTCAGGTATCTCTAGAAGAACCCTCCCGCAGTGTGAGCGACCGGGAAGTGATGACCGCCCTCATATTTCTGTAATGAACAGAACACGAGTGGGGACAATCGAATGTATTTAACAAAAAAATTACAGGACTTGTTAATAAAATCTAACAACCATAAAATAAATGCTTAATTTGCAAAATGTCCACCAATTGTCTCAAAATGACTCAGATTTGATTGTTCTTGCATTTTCATACATATTGCATTCTGTTTCCATCCTTTACTGTTCGATCCCCTTGTCTCTCTGCCGCCAGACCTGTTCATGACTAACATTATGTACTACTTATGTCAATATAAGTAGCACACACCACACCTCTAACAACACTCAAGATCACTTTATTCATAATTAATCTCCCTCTTCAATCCCTATTATTCCTCCTACCTCGACTTTCAACTCTAAACTCCCCCTTTTGACCTCCTCCTCAAGTGTCACCATGGCCAACGATTCAAGTACGCAAAACACTGTCCCAGGTCTTCTGAACCCTCGTTTTAAACTACACATTGAAACCTTCAACGTACGTATCTTATGTCAAACCAGTCAGCAGGCCTCCTTGGCTAAAACCCTAGAAGCTCGTACCATTGGTGTATGCTGTGTCTCCGAAACACACATACCGGATCCTAGTGTGGTCATTCACTTGACCTCACCTCGGCAAAGCGGAGAGCCGGCGAGATACACCCTCCATGTATCTGGCGGCCCGATGGCTAGTTCTCGTGGGCTGGTGGATGTAGGCACAGCACTAGGTACGAGGGCAGAGCAATCGCTATTAGAATCGATCCCTGTTAACAGTCGCTTATGTGCTGTTCAGCTAAACGGCTCCGTAAGAACTCGGAAGGATATGGACACACGTCGTTGCCTTTTCGTCGTTTCTGCCTACGCTCCCACTTACTGCAGCTCGAATGAAGTGGAAGATGACTTTTACAGAAAGCTTTCTGAACTTCAGAAAGCTAAACGCAGCAGCGACATCTAGTGATTTAAACTAAAGGGTCATGAAAAACCAGTAATTTCTATCAAGTCTATTGAACTGATAGATTCTCTTAAGTTCATCTTATCAGGCTCTGAACACGATAAGGAGCGTAAACAAATCAGATCTAGGTCAACCAAAAGTCTAAGGAACGACCGTGAGCAGTGTTGGGCAACGACTGTAGGTAACACTAGACAACTTTTCAGAGTAATAAACGAAACTGGAATTAAAAAGTCAAGTGTAAGTGGGATGATATCGGAAAAAGATGACACCCTTATCTGCTCTCAGCCAATAAAGTCTCTTTAACTTTTCTCCAAACTACGCCATTAATAACATGGAAAAGAGCAGTTTTGAACCTACATTTATCTATTTATTTTGTTATTTATTTATCTACTATTTATTTGAAAACATAGATAATGGTACAAGGGGGCACCAGATACATATGCGCCACACAAATCTCATTTGATTTGTATGAGGGCTGTGATACTGCTCGGGTGCCCAAACCGAAGCAGGTGATCTTCTTAGGGGGCCACACTCGGAGCCTTCGATGTAAAGGTCTGATCCACAAGGTAGTGGAGCATCTTAAGGAGATGCAGTCCCATGGTAGCCGGTGACCAATAATTAGTTCATACTCCATTTTTTCCTTCAGGATACTAGAGCCCATGTGCACCATTGGTTTGGAATCAGGGTTTTCCAACTTCCCTAGGAGGACTCACCATGTCCACCAACCCGGTTAAAGAGCCGGACATTCGCTTTTCGTCCTTTCAATTTCGTAAACAACACCCCATCGCGAGAAGGCAATGAGTAGGACTTCCCTGGCAGCAGTTGTATGCACATGGCCATTTGTAAACAACACGTCCGCCACACGTATATTGCAAGGTTATGTCGTTCGTTGTCAGGTCTGTTTGGTGGCAACGATGATAAAATGCAGTCTTTTGGTAGCACTGTGCAACAATGCCAGGGTGTTTGGGATGCGTTTCTCCCCCTTTTAAATGCAAATTCTTGCTTCAGGACTGGCCTGCGTCAACCAATTCTTTCTCCCTTTATCATACCCTTTTATGAAATTTTTTGTAACTACCATTGAGTTAACTGCTTCTATAAATTTGGTGTTCATCTTTTTGTGCTAATAAACTGTGGTAACATGAACCGATGCATGTATGTGCCTGGTCATACGTTGTAGCTAAGTGACTGGTTATCTGGTGCTTCGGTTCTCATTATTTTTAATCAAACTCAACCTTGTTTTTCCAGGAAACTGTTCGAATTTCTGTTCCTGTTGAGTGTCGGGGTTATTTAATTGGTCGGAAAGGGGAGCGATTACAAGAACTGGAGTCATCTACGATGACACGGATTAGCATTCCACCTCACAATGCGCTTGATCCAAATGTCGTCATTGTTACAGGTCCCAGAAGAGGAATTTTAGAAGCAGAAGGCCTAATATATGAAATTGTTCACAAACAATCCCAACAAGCGTTTGAACGGCTTTCGATCCCAAAAATTTACCATCCTTTTATATGTGGGCCGTAAGTTCATACTCATTACTATGTTTAACCCGAATGGATTTTGACAAAAGTCTTACTTTATAGGAACAACCAGATTGTAAATGATCTGAAGTCTCGAACTGACACTAAAATCAACATTCCTCCTCCAAATGTATCAGTCGATGAAATAGCAGTTTCTGGCAAGCGCGAAGGTGTTGCACAAGCGGTTAAAGAGATTCAAGCAATATATAATGAACGGGTAAGTTTTTTTAAGCATATGAGAGTATACTGATTCAGTATATCTGGTTTTATGTAGTCTCAAAAATTTTTTTTTTCTTGAACGTGCATGTTACTACCTTTTTTTGTTTCAAAACTTTCTTCCCAATGAATTCGTACATAATTTCGTACAAATTCTGAAACTAAGAGTATGAAACATTCCGAGCACCAAGTTGATTATTAACAATATTTTTCCTCACATTTGATGACACTGTTAATTCGATTTTGTAAAATTTTATATTTTATTTTTCCAGCTTGAAACTACAAAGACAATTACTGTTAAGGTTGCTAGATCACAGCATCGTATCATATTCGGTCAGCGCGGTTCTGGAATCGCAGATATTTTAGCTCAAACTGGTGTTTCCGTTGAACTGCCGGTGGATGATGGGAATGAGGAGATTGTTTTGCGAGGAAAACCCGAAGATCTTGGACGTGCACTTACAATGGTTTATGAACGGGCTCAAAGCACCATGACAGAAGAAATTGAAGCACCTAATCGCTTTCACAGACTTTTAATTGGAAGAGGAGGTTCTAAATTAACAGAATTACTGGAAGGATACAAACGAGTAAGTTTCATCCATGTTTCGGCTAAAAATTCAAGATAATTCCACTTAGTTGATTATAATTTGACTTTTAGACCTCTACTACGATATACAGTAACGCTCGATCTGTTCAATTCACACTTAGCCAATTAACCATTAGAATAAACAAGAGATGTTCTGCTTTACATTTGCAAAACGTAGCCTTTCAAAGTTGGGAATGCTATGTGGCCCTCTTTCCGATCTTCGCGGTCAGGAAAGGACGGCGCTCATCCGACGCCAACATCATATATTTAATGCGGAGGTCCGGAAACATGTTTAAACATTGCGGAGATGGTACTTACAGATTGTTGACCTACATCTTTTAACACGCTCAAGTTCTCATTTATATTTCGTAGTATCCATTTTTTGGTCTTAAAAATTGGTGTTATTTAGAATTAGTGGCTATGGTGACAGTATGTATTCTTATTCTACAAATAATCACTTACAAACTACTAGATCTTGATGCTGACTAAGAAGTTAATGATAATAACTTACTCGCATAAACACCTAAGTATCTAATTTGGGATCGTTCGATTACATCACCTTGGTTTAAAAGAGCGAAAGGAGAGAAAATTCGTTTATCATTAGACTCTTATAAATGGGTTCTCTGTGGCATTTATAAGTAAAACAGCAAACATCCTACCTAAACGTGTAACTCATAAGTGGGAGTTCAAAAGTGTGTAAGCTACTAGCCAATGATGCAAGAAGAAAAGTGCTTATGGAGGATAAAATCTCAAATTATTATAATGATGTCTCAGGGGTAGTGAAACATGTTACTGTTCTTCATGTATGGTTACAGTTAACAATTGTCTATAAATGTGGAGATATTCGGATGTTAGTATGTTTCAACTAACATGATACAACTAATTGTCATGCCGTCAGTATTGAGGTGGAGGTTGGAAACGTGAGTGAAATGCTGTGTAAAATGAATGTGACGTGCTGTTTCTGAATAGCAGTCTTCCTTTCCTTTCCTTTCCCGATTTCCTTGACTATGAGTTGTAAAGACGAAATCATTTAAAATGATGCCTTGTCTTGTATTGCTAATACTTGCACTAGAAGAAAACACTGTTAACACTGTATAATTCGTGTTTTACTTATAGTATATGGAAGGAATGGAAAGAGTACACTCTTGCATCAATCCAAGAAAGTCAAATATAGGAATTACTCAGAAGAAAATATCCGAAATCTGAAAAACATGTTTCATACGACTAACTGGGAATTATTTACAGATGACTCACTGGAAAACACTACTGATGTTATCACGTGTTGCCTTAAATTCTGTTTTGATATTTGTTGTCCCACTGAAACCATTTTTGTAAGTTTTGATCGACTTACATCTTGACAACTAAAACGACCACGGAGAGTAAAAGAAAGAATGTACAATGAGAAAGACTCTATTGAAGTTCGTAAGCTAAATGGTCTGATAAACCTAGAGATTAGACGTCTCAATTCTATGTTTACTCAAAAACTCCTGTCTTGCAAAAACTCTCCAAGTATGTGGAAACTCTTTAAAGAACTTACAGGTGACAGGCACATTAGAAGCGATAACCAGATGAATGTTTGTACGTCAGTCATCTGATGTAATGCTCCCTATATCCACAAGTTCAACTAATACTTGTGTGTCCGAAAATGTTTCTAGTCCTTTAATTCATCCTGATGTTTAGGATCTGATGATATTCCAAAACTCCTTTTCAAAAAGTTTGCTGACTTCCTATATTGTCCATTCACGAGTATTTTAACAGATCCTTCTCAACTAATCTCATACCGAAAATGTGGAGAAGGATAAAGATAATCCCTATACCTAAGAAAGTATCTGGTGAGTGTGAAATTTAGACCCATAGCAATAACTTCATATTTCCTCAAAACAATCGAAAATTATTGATACTCCCACTTCAACCTGCGATAAAAGAGCACATTGATCCGTATCAGTTTGCTTACAGATGCAAAAGAAGCACCTTAGATACTGATGCTGTTCTGCATCACAATATAGTGTTCAGCTTGGAAAAAAGTAAGGAGTATGTTCGATGCGCTTTTCTGGACTATACTTAAGCTTTTGACTCTATACCAGGACAACCTTTACTTAATATGTCAATCATCGTCATTACTGATAGCTAGATAACCAATTGGCTATGTTACTACCTCTCTGGGAGAGAACAGTACGCTGTGTTTGGAGGAAAGTGTTCAGCGTCTCTACTGTCTCATGAAGGTGTACCACAAGGAACTGTTCTTTCTCCTATTCTTTTCTCTTTTTTTCTGAATGATCTACCATCTTCCACAGAAAACACTTTTGTGAAATATGCGGATGATCTCACTGTATGTATGCCGATTTCTACCTCTTTGCATCCCATAGAAATGAATGAGTTTTTGTCTCGTATTGAATTTTGGTCTGTTGGTAATGGTCTCATACTTAATCCATCTAAATGTCAAGCTGTTAACTTTAGCATGAGGCATGAACAGCATCTAAACACCATTTTAGGATCCCATAACGCTTTTGCCATTGGAGACTCTTTGATAAACACAGTGTCAAAGGTCAATTATCTTGGTGTTACTTTTCCCTCTGATTCCTTTTGGTCTTCTCATGTTTTACTGTTATCGAAGAAAGTTTGCGTCTGACTTACTATATGAAGAGGCTGCATGCTTTTGGGATTACTCGTCATTTACTCTTACAATTTTTAAATTCCTGCATATCATCTCTTCTTCTTTGCCGGGCTTTTGATAAAAGGCTTTGTTGTATTACGGAGAGTGCTGAAAGGAGTTAGCAAGGTGTGTGGTGAATCTTTCGAGGTTATTAATAATATGGTTGTGGATAGACATCTAAAGTTTTGCAAACTCATGGCAGGTGTTATCTTATCAGATACTAACCATCCCCTTCACTGATATCTTTCTCCTTGTATATTTTCTGGTAGAACGAGATGTAAATACATTAAAATCCATGCACGCAAGCGAAAGTATAAAAGTTCTATAATACCTTACCTAGCAAATATCCTCTGTGACGAACAGGTTGTCAGAGTTTACCTATTCAATAACCTGTATTCTTAAACATGTCTTTAATTTGGAAAGTTGTACAGTTTCAGATCTTCTTTCACCTTTTTCCTTTTTTGTTGTTTAGTTTTTTTTGTAAAAGAAACTTGTCAAAATACATTGTGCTGAGAATTATATATTGTACCAAAATATAATATTGAATGAAGCCATATTAAAAGAAACACTGCTATATCGGGACTCAATCGTTTGCTACGTTTCGATGTTAAAACACCCATGGTTTTCTAGCCTCAACCTCACTCCACATTATATGGGTTTAAGAAGTTTGCTGTTATCACTAGTTCTCTCACTTAAGGCATGTCTCAAAACCACGTGCACAAACCTTTGATTGGTTGATTAATAATGTCATGCATATTGTATAATCAGCTTGTACATTTTTTATTTCTAAAACATTATCTACTAATAGTAATTTTTAAATATTTCTCCATCTTTCCTATTTTGGGCAAAAATTGCTATAAGGCTATATTTTTATCTACAGTAAAATAGATAATCATTGTCCGTTTATTAGACCTGCTAATACACTTTGTACATGTATAGGTTCAAGTAAGCTTTGGAGATAACACCGACAGAATCTCTGTTGAAGGTCCTTGTGAAGAAGTCGAAGTTATTGTCGAGCGCTTAAAAAACCGCTTAGCAGAACTACAAGCCACTGTTGCTATGGCGGCGGTAAAAGTAGATCCCAAGTACTACCGACACATAATTGGTAAACAAGGAGCTACCATTGGTCGTTTGCGTGACTATAAAGTACGCGTTAGACTTCCTGATTCAGATCGAGGTGATGCTTTCTCTGATGAAATAGTGATTGAAGGCGATCCAGTTGGAGTTGAAAAGGCAAAGCTTGAGATTCAGCAATTGGTGGAGAGACTGGTACGTATTTTCTTATTTTTAGAAATACTATGTCTGTTTTTCACACAGCTTCATACACATATAGTGAATATAAGTCCAATTCATTTTTGTGTATCTGGTTTTGGCTTTTTCAAGAGGAGAAAGTCTAATTTTGACTAGAAGTTTTTATGAAATTCTCAAAGACGGTTATGGGGATACTTATTTTATATAAATGTGTGTGCAACGCTCTTGGGAAGTGGAGGGATCAGAATGATTTATTAAAACGCCATGAAAATAGAGAACATAAAGTATGGAGGGGATTCAGTATAGAGAACTAATTTAAAATAAAATAAAAAAATTAGTCCAAAATAAGTAGTAAAATCTCAGGTTTAATAAACAATTTTAGGAGATCTGGGTAGTCCTAACTTAATAGTGACGTAAATTGTTTATTAAACTTGACTTTATATCGGTCGTGTGAAAGAAAATTTTATCATGAACCTATTTTCCTGATAGCATACTGCAGTAATACTCCTCTTATAAAGGTGTGTGTAGTTTCAATGATGATCTAAGCCCCGTAGTCCAGCGTTGTTAATGCTATTCCTCTCAGACCACTGAGTCATCACTTTGACAAAAAGTCTACAAACTTTTTTATTCGGACGTAATGGTTCTGGTTACAACTAACTATATTGTATGTTTGGGTTTTTAAACGTGACAAAGTTATTCAGGTTTGCTTATCGAGTTGAAGTTACCTCATAATAATCATTTATGACACAATCAACAATGCCGTAGGAAATGTGATGTTACTTCATGCTGTGTCGTTGTGACATTAATAATAATAATATCCTATGAATTAGGAATTACTATTATTATTATTTGAACACATAGATATTGGTACAAGGAGGCACCAGATACATATGCGCCACACAAATCTCATTTGATTTGTATGAGGGCTGTGATACTGCTCGGGTGCCCAAACCGAAGCAGGTGATCTTTTTAGGGGGCCACACTCGGAGCCTTCGATGTAAAGGTCTGATCCACAAGGTAGTGGAGCATCTTAAGGAGATGCAGTCCCATGGTAGCCGGTGACCAATAATTAGTTCATACTCCATTTTTTCCTTCAGGATACTAGAGCCCATGTGCACCATTGGTTTGGAATCAGGGTTTTCCAACTTCCCTAGGAGGACTCACCATGTCCACCAACCCGGTTAAAGAGCCGGACATTCGCTTTTCGTCCTTTCAATTTCGTAAACAACACCCCATCGCGAGAAGGCAATGAGTAGGACTTCCCTGGCAGAGGCTATATACGCGTGGCCATGTGAGAGCATTTTTCGAGGGAGAGCGGACTCTCCCCTCTCTCGACCGTGCTAGGGCATTTGGGGGCGTGAATTAGGAAAGATGAACATGTCATTAAGAATGTTTCGTAGTAAGAGGCAGTTTAGGGCCTATATCCATACAAAGTTCATTATGGTGTTTATGAAGCAAACATGTAAACATTTTGTGCAGTTTCGTCATACTTTGGCATACCTTTCTTTAAGTATTTGTCCACTGCTCAATTCTGCCTTAATTAAATTTACTACTTGACCATTATTGGTCTGTTCTCAATATATATCGTTAGAACTTGATGTATCTAAGTCAATGTAATGTTTCATATCTTTTGTTGTTCGTTACGTGCTATTTTCACAAACTAACGTCTCATTCAGTTATTTACGAATCCTTTTTTTCTATGAAAAGGAACTAAGGATTGTTTCATCGTTTATATTGTTTTAGGAGAATGAGAAATGTAAAGATATGATTATTGATCCTCATATCCAGAATTTGTTACGTTCAACCATAAATGGAACTTCTTATATTCGTACCATTTACGAAACATTCCCTCAAGTACGTATTATATGGCCTGAAAGTGATGCAAATGATTCCATGTTTGAAGAAAATCCAACTAAAAGTATTGTTCAACTAAGAGGTGATCGTCAGCAAGTCGATGCAGCAAGTGAAAAGTTAAACAAACTTATTAAATTAGTGAAAGAGGAGAACTATAGACAAGAGGTAGGGTTGAATATCAATGTTTATGCATTTAATTAGAAGTTTTCTTTTGATGGTATCAATATCTAAAGTCATTCATCAACATTACTGATTAGTGCAATCGAATGTCCTAAGTGTGATTCTTTGTAGCGGGGTCGTGGATGCGCACTGCTGAGAAATCTCACACTTTGACCGATCAGCTGTCCCGTGCTTCCAGGTCTTCAATAATATTCTAGCTAATATCAGTTCGTGATCTGATCTATGAAAGTGATAAACTGTGTTGGATGTGTTTATTCAGCTGACCAATGTTTGTTTAACCCCCTTAGTGTTGATTGAATTTTCTCGAACAAGTTGAAATGTAGCCGCTATTTGAGAGGACTTAACTTTGAGGCATGTAAAGTAGTGTTTAAATCCGTAATTCGGTGTTTTAAAAGAAAATACGCAAACATATGAACCACTCACTCAGTTCAGTTACCAAGTGCAAAATAATTGTAAATATGCAGTGATTCCGTAATGACTATTTGTCATTCTTCTCTAGCGTAAAGTGTCTTATTTGGACATTGAACAAAAGTTTTTAATGTGTATAATCTCTCTTATGGACGAGGAAGACTTGGTAAACAATTGTGTAAATTATCAATCTTTTTTATCCACATCCACTGTTTTCTTCACTTTATTGAAAATGATTTCTTCCAATGTCTTTAATTTCAAAAGCTGTACAATCGTATTTCGATGATATAAATAATGTGATGAGCAGGCTGGGACACAGACAAGAAGTTACTCAGGTGGTCTTTGGAAATCCTGGTGTATATATGTATATATATATTTATTTATTTATTACTTCTCATCTACAGATATATATTTTCAAAGAGGTACGGTCTAGTTTTCTTGGACGTGAATATCCAAGAGTGCGTAAAATTCTTGAAGATACACAAACACGTCTGCAAAATCCTAATGTTGGTTCTAATCCTGAAATTTTCACTGTAATTGGACGAGAGGAAAATGTGCGCAGGGCAATTGAACAGTTAGAAGAATTACAAAAGAAACTGGTTCGTTAACCTTTTTTTTCAAACATTGATAAATTGATAGTCTCACCGTATGAATTCAATGTTTAGGAAAAATCGCCTGTTTCTTGTGTTTGGTAAATTGAATTATTTTTTTTATGTATGTTCCAGTGCTAGTAAAATTATCATAGTACTCTACGGTTGATATTCTAATCATACCTCAATTTTATCTTATTTAGTAGTATTAAATTAAAAGTTTTGGGTATGATAGACATATTCACTTTAAATACTGTCCCTGTAAGTTTTGACATTTTTGCCAGTATTATTTAGCAAACGTGCTCTGATAGTTTTGTACGGATTTATCCACAGTAAATATTATTTCCACAAATTGCATACGATTCTCTGACACGAAAACACTTGTGTTATATTCGAATTGGAAAAGGAGTTTTTCTTATAAATCGTGTAAAAATTTAAACTTCAAATAAATTGCTTGATGAATCCGAATCCATCTCCAGCTTTAAAAAAGTGTATTGTAGTAAGGACTTTGCCTGATGTATTTCTACAGAAAGGCATTCTTCGTTTCAAACAGCCTAGAATGTGGTGTATAAACATATTCATTTCAAATCATTGTTAGAAAATAGATGAAATTTGACTAGGAGTGGAATCGAGGACGCACATTTCGTTCTATTTGAGACTCATCAGCTGGATGTGGCTGCATCTTAGAGTTAATGTTCACTCCGGGACTCAAAATCATTGTCGTTTGCTTAAAATGCCATCGCTTTATCCACTTAGCTACTGAGTCTGGATCGCCATTCACTTTTGCAACTGGTATGAGTTTTAATTCATTTTGAAATGGTTTAAATTATCCCGTTGTTGATATATTTTTGGTTGAAATTTGATCAGTCTTGGTCGGAACTTGTGCATCCTATGCGGATTATTAACCAAGACTGATTGAATTTCAGTTAAATATCAACAACGGGACAATTCGACTTATTGATTTATTTCATGAATAATCTTACCCCCATAACTAGTAGTTGCAGTGAATTTTTCACTCATTATCCACTCTAGTCTATTATCAATATTATTATTATTATTATTATTATTATTATTATTATTATTATTATTATTATTATC